CTATCTATCTATCTATCTATCTATCTATCTATCTATCTATCTATCTACCTACCTACCTACCTACCTACCTACCTACCTATCTACCTATCAGAATTGTACACTTTTAGGCTCCTATTTGCTAAACATTGCAAAGCAGCTGCCTCCAACTTCTCCTTTGGCAGAATCCCTGGACTGACCATTTCCATGGCCAAAAGGGCCATGAATGCTTGCAGCCACCCAGAGTCACTCAATAGTGAGCCCAGGCAGCATATACATTTAATAAATAAATAAATAACTGCTTGCGGGAAGTTATAGGCCCATCCAGAGAGCATTGGGGGACAGGGGGAAGCTCCTCTGTAACTACCCTGTCAATCGTGGCATTTTTTTTCAACCATAAAATTACAGGAGGGTGACGTGGTGCAAAAGAAGAGAGCCCCAACTTTGGCAAGTTAGAGGAAGGGAGGAGCAAAGGATGAAGGGGGGAGGGACTTTCAGAAAAAAAAGGGTTACGTGGTCTTGAGTAGGAGGAAAATGTGAGAAAGAAAGTCAAAATAATTTCGCTTGGCACAAGATGTTGCAGAGAAAAATTCACTCCATTTTTTTTCCCCCAAAGTTCTGCTGTTCTACCCTTCCACAGCGAATAACATTCCTGGAATCCGGAGTCCTGGGGGCTCTCGGAGCTTGCTGGTTTTCTTGCAGATGTTTCATTTCCCAAACCAAGTGACCACCACCGTTGTTAGGACTGAGAAGAAGGACCAGACCTGATGATGTTACCTAGATTGGTAAGGAAACGTCTGCCGGAAAACCAACCGAGCTCAAAGAGCCCCCAGGACCCCTCACGTCAACCCTGAGTTACAAATATTCTTTCACTGATTCCAGGAACCTCTGCAAGGGGTTGACCTCTGGTAAGGGCAGGGAAGCGAAAGAACGCACGCCTCCCTTCTCCCAAGGATTCAGTGTGAGTGTGACGATCGTTCCATGCAGCCACGAAACAGAACTTGCCCAGCTTCAGCCAGAGTTGGGTGTGTCCAGGTTCAGCTCAGGGCCTGGGTTGTTAAGCTGCTGGAAGGCAAGGAAGGAAAGCAGCGGTAGCAGTAGCTGGGGTGCAAAGGGGAGAAAGGCCAGGCCAAGTGGGAAAACCATGCGCTCGTCAGCAAAGCCGCAGCTCTAGGAAGGCTCAGATTACACAAGAGAGAAAAAGACAGGCCGAGACAGTGGAGACAGGTGGCGGTGATGGTGGGGGAGGAGGAGGAGGAGGAGGAGGAGGAGGAGGAGGAGGAGGAGGAGGAGGAGGAGGAGAGACCAGGGTGAAGCCAGTGGTGCCATGTTGGGCACCTCCCAGCCAGCCAGCTTGGTACAACCAGCACCCCCTCTGGCAGGAGAGAAAGTGGAAGAGCCAGTGGTGCCATGTTGGGCACCTCCCAGCCAGCCAGCTTGGTACAACCAGCACTCCCTCTGGCAGGAGAGAAAGTGGAAGATCACACCGCGGAGGGACGAGGCAGAGAAAGAATGGTAGCGCCCTTGAGAAGCTGGGGGAACCTCCCTTAATCGCATCAGAGCCTCGTGGGCTACATTTAGTGATGGGATTCAGCCGGTTTTTACTGGTTCAAGAGAACCGGTTGTTAACTTCCGGAGCCGTTTGGTGAACTGGTCGTTGGAAGAAATCATTAGGGTGGAGAACCGGTTGTTAAATTATTTGAATCCCACCACTGGCTACATTTTGTCTCCAGTGCCCACTAAAACCCGCTCCTGTCTTGATTCATACTAATGTAAGTGGTTACAGGTCCCATTCTTCGAAGGGAGACCTGGATTGCAACTCCGGACTTAAACCAGCCCGCTTGATAACCCATTAATCACCCCTCCAGCACTGAGGACATCTCAACTTAAATTGTCCAAAGCCTGGTCTCTATCACCTTTAGGATCCAACAGCTATTCCCAAACCATCTCATCAGCAGAACCGTTGATTACTTCTGCTTTGAAGCAAGGTGAGCAACTCAAATCCCACGGAAAGTGATAACCACATATTTTTAAAGCCCAGGAGGACTGGTGCTCGGTCCCCTGTCAAAACCTCCTTGCCAGTCTGCTTGTTTTGACGCCATAGAGACTGTTCCTCTCTCTATCAGAGGTGTGTGTCTAATCCAGAGGTCTCCCAACTTGGCAACTTTAAGACTTGTGGACTTCAACTCCCAGAATTCTCCAGCCAGCATAAAATTCTGGGAGTTGAAATCCACAAGTCTTAAAGTCTCCAAGTTGGGAGACCTCTGGTCTAATCTATCCCCCTTTAAGCCATGGTTTCTCAACCTTGTCAGCTTTAAGCTGGTGGCTGGCTGGCAGGGAAGTTCTGAGAGTTGGACGTTCTCACACCTTCAAGCTAGTAAAATTGAGAAATGTTGCTCGATGTTGCATCGAGTTGCATCAACTATGATCTGGCTAGGAATTAAGGAGGAACTCAGATACATACTGCCCTCTGGATGGCGAGCGAGATGGTTCCTCCTGCCAAGTGTTCATTATTAGATCCAGAATAAGAAAGAAAGGAGGATTGAGATCACAGGAGGCAACCAGGGGAGATCTGAAGCTGGCAGAAGAGAGTGGATCTGGGACTCACCATTTAACTGGGAGGGTGACCCAGAATAGTCTCTGTGCCGGTAGCGTTTGTCACTCTTCAGGCTGTGACTCTGACGCCCGGAACCTTCCAGCATGTTGATAATCTCGCTACGGTCAATGTTGCGAAGGGCTGCGTAAAGGCTCTCCACTGGACAAAGGACGAGGAAGAAGGGGTTAAGAACGGGGAATGAGAGTTAGACCTAAAACCAAGTGGAGCCTCACCCAAACCATGATAGAAACACCCACTCGAACAGAGTTTGATCTTTTACGGTCCTTTAATAGGAATGGTCACCTTCTTTCTCTCAAGCGAAACGTTGACCTTGGTTTTGTTGATTAGAGAGATGTGGCGTTATAGGAATGGCTAGTTACATATTCATGTGTAAAAGCAAAAAGTTGAGGTTGGAATGTGCTTATCTTGTACTGTGCTAAGAAGAGTAAAAAGAAATGTCCCCTTTTCTTTCTTTTTGTTCTCTTCCCGTTCTGACCCAATCCTGTTACCAGCAAGAAAATCTCAAACAAACGCAGCAACTCAAACCTTCTCAGCTTTAATCTACCAATAACTTCTTTGTAGATAAAAGATGGCTTACAGCCAATTAGTACAACCAGAAAAGCCTTGACAGAATTCTTCAGATAAGCCGCGAGTCTCTACACACAATGCTGGGTCCTTAGAACGTTTTTGCTTTCTGCAAAAGCAAAAAAAAACTTTCGAAACCAGGCTTATATTCCCTGGAAGGAGGGGCCACCACGTTCCATCCTTACTCCCAAGTCTCCTGTGCTGCTCCAGCTGTTCTCTTCTACAAATCATCCTGTGCTCATGCGCACTTGGCACAGGCTCCTCGGGAACCTCCTCGTCACTGCTGCCAGCCCCCACAATCCCTGAAGGCATCAGTCCACTCCCTGATGGTCCTGGCCCCTCCTCAGAGTCTTTGCTCTCCTTCACCATCCACACCTGCCATTTATCTACTCACAATGACTTGCTTTCAAACTGCTAGGTCAGTGGGAGCAAATGACAGGTGCTCACCCCGTCACGCAGTAACACTCGGATCTCAAGCATGGACTTGCTGCTTGTCACCCCAGCATCCTAACCACATGAGCCAACGCACTCCTCCTCCGAAGTAGCATTAATTTGATATGAAAGTGCCAACAGCATGGGTGTCATGGCCCTGGTGGAGACTGACTCCGAGGAAGAGGAGGAACAGCCGACAGGGAGTGGAAGTGTGGCTCCGGAGGTTGTGGAGGAGGCTGGGGAAGGGCAGAGGATGGCTGAACAGTCAGAGGAGGACCCAGGCCCATCCCCTCCCCATCCTAGGGCACGCAGGGAGGAGAGGATCAGGGAGAGACATGGTCTCCTCAGGAGGAGAGGGCCTTGATCCTCGGTGTGGTCTAAGGGGGAGGAAAGGGCCTTGATCCTCTTCATGGGCTGCAAGTGTGAGGACTGAATAAGAGTTTGGACCTGCATACTGGCAAACTCTGGAAACAAAGCGTGTTTTATTTTGGTCTGAAGTTATCTTGGTTGGCGTCCTTTCAACAGACTGTGCCTTGTTATCTCCTTGAATTTGGTAAATAATTTTCCTGTTCCATTGTGGAAATTCCTTCATTGTATTTTGTTTTTTTTTTATTTCACCTCTATCTGCTCATTGAGTTCGGACTGTATTGCTTTCTTTTGAAGTCTATTTTTGAGTACGTTTTATCTCAGTGGGGCCAAGTTGGAGGCATTAAAGGGCATTTATTGACGTTTTGGATTTTGTTACGTTTGTGTTACGCTCTGGGTCAACACATTGGGGCTCAGTGCACCCTTCCATTGTTGTATAGGATGTAACCCAAAGATTTTCCTTTTGATGACACGAGCTGATTTTTGAAAATCTCTGGAGAGAATCTAAAGCATCTCTCTGATATATGCAAAAGAGGAAGCCCTCATTTCCGACACTTATCATTGATACTCACTGTTGGCACTCTGGCCACCCCGACTGGTCCAAAGATTTAAGAGGGTCATGCTCTGCTCCAGAAGGGAGTTGGGGTTCTCAACTCGGATTCTGTTGATATCATCCACTCCGAATTGAAGTTCTCGAGCCAGCTCTGCAGGGAATTGGGGAGAATCAGGTAAGAATGAAATGCAACTGGTTTTCATTGCTAAATATCTATGGAGCTTCTCAGTCATCCAGGTCATGGTTGTCCCAAAGGTGCTTTTTCCTGCATTCTTCCCTCCCTCTCCTTTTTCTTTCTTGCCTTCCTTCCTTCCCTTGCCTTCCTTCCCTTGCCTTCCTTCCTTCCTTCCTTCCTTCCTTCCTTCCTTCCTTCCTTCCTTCTTCCTTCCTTCCTTCCTTCCCTTCCCTTCCCTTCCCTTCCCCTTCCTTCCTTCCTTCCTTTCCTTCCCTTCCTTCCATCCCTCCCTCCCTCAATGATCAGAATGCAGCACTGCAGGCTAACTCTGCCCACAGCCAGGAGTTCGATCCTCCTTCCATCCTTCCGAGGTGGGTAAAATGAGGACCCAGATTGTTGGGGGCAAAAGGCTGACTCTGTAAAACGCTTAGAGGGGGCTGTAATGGACTGTAAAGCAGTATATAAGTCTAAGGGCTATTGCTATTCTTCCTCCAAGGTCCACACCTCAACAGCCAATTCAGTCTCAGGGTGAGGTGGTCAGGTTTGCCAACATTTCCCCACCTAACCTGTGCTCCACATCTGCCATTTCACATGGCTTTGGTTCTCCGCCTTGGCCCCAGTGATACTTACCAGCCCAACTGAGCCCCAAGTGTTCCGCAATGACCGCCAACTTCAGGTTGGTCTTGTCTTTCTCTGTGCTGTTAAGGGATCCTGGGAAAAGAAGAAGGACAAAGCCAACCTCAACCATCCCCATCTTCAGGTATTGCTGGAGTTATCCCAAAGACGCTGTTCAAAAGGCAACTGGGTTTTCTTGGGGTTGTACCGAAAACATTTCACTTCTCATCCAAGAAGCTTCTTCAGTTTTCTATCGAAGGCATCATAATTAACATAACCCCTGCCAACAAACCCTACAGACTTCAGTAAGGATTAGTATCAGCCTTGGAGGGCATTTTTTACTTGGCAACTTCAAGGCTGCCACATTCAGAGCCTAGGAATTGGGAGGAGGGATTTCATAGTGACGTAGGAGATTAGACAGAACAACAGTCGTTGTCAGAGAGTCAAGGACATGCTTCCCTGCACCTGGAGGAATGGAGGAATGTCTCCAGTTGGGATGAAGATTTGATTGGGACAGATACGATGGACCGATGGGTGCAGGGGATGGATCTTTGAATTCTCTTTTGGGAAGGATTCGGGTTTTCCCAGATGTGCCAATATGACAACTCTAATGAAATGCAAGTTTGAGGAAATGTATGTCTCAGAGTCTCTTGGTTTGGAGTTGGTTAGTTGGAACGCTGACATTCAATGTAAATTAGCTCAGCTTTACATTCTCACGGTGTTTAGGAATTCCTACGTCCTTAATTTGTCCATACAGCATTTTGAATATTGATTGTAAAATTGATCTATGGGTTTCTCCTGGATTTTAATTCGCGTACTTTGCAATTTTACATTTGTAATTTTATTTTTACCTGATTTTAGTCTTATCAATGTGATTTTTTTAAAAAAATAATTACCTCTACTTTAGAATGACTGTTACTGATTTTATGCAGGCCCATGACTGAAAAACAAGGAAACAATTCAAGTGTGGTTTTCATATTGTTCCTTGAATGGTGTATATGTGTGTGTGTGTGTACATTTTGCAAATATTTTCCTAAAAATAAATTTAAAAGCATCTGAGCAGCCTATTTTTCTGAACAGATCCTTTCCCGAGAGGGCGTGGGCAGGAAAGATGCACAAGGCTATCAACAAATTTAGCAACCGGTTCTCTGCCCGGTTGCTGGGTGGGTGTGGCCATGGTGGGCGTGGGCTAATCGGCCTCCCGCACCACGGAGGAGGGGCATTTTCGTCCTCCCCGGGCTCCGGAGGCTCCCTGGAAGCCGGAAACAGGCCCATTTCTGGCCTTCTCAAACTTCTAGGAGGCCCGTTTTTCACCCTCCCTGAGGCTCTGCACAGGCCCTGCACAAACCTGGATCCAAAACAGGCCAGGTTCCTTCTTTTTTTTTTTTTTAACATGTAATAGTACGTGCCCGGTGTCTGATTCCATCTAAAACATCTACCTATTTATTGGTGTTACCCATCCTTGGAGGGACATTGTGTCTTGGCCTAAGCTTTCCAGCTTACAAACCCTCAAACTCGCAACTTCATTTGACCCAGTTCAATGCTAAGAGTTTAGCAAAGAGAAACAGAGTTCTAGGCTCTGTCCAACTTGCATCGCTGGGGTCTTGTCTCCTGCTCAGAAACTTAACAACCGCTCGAATCCCACCACTTCCCCTTACCCAGAGTGTTGTCACTGAGAAGGCTGTATCTCTCTCGCAGGGCAAGCGGCGTCAGCGTTCTCCTTCGCTCTTCACTGCCAGAAGTCTGGGAGAACAAGGAAAGGTTTGAGATGGTTCAGCATCACAAGTGGGAGAGGAGCACACGCACACAAGCACACACACACAACAAATAGTCAAAAACACAAGACCAGCAGTGGGATTCCAAATGTTTTCCCACCGGTTCTATGAGAGCGCGCTTCGCAGCAATGAAAACGCACGCGCAACAATGGAAAAACCGCACGCTCTGTCAGCACTTGGTGGAGGTGAGCTGTTTTTTAGCTCAGCTGAGGCGCGGAAATCCACTCTGCCACGCGAATCAGTTGAGCTAAAAGACAAGGATAGGGCAAGATAGGGCGGGAGTGGGTGGATGGGGCCAGCCAGAGCTGGTATTTGCCAGTTCTCCAAACTAGTCAAAATTTCCACTACCGGTACACCAGAACCGGTCTGAACCAGCTAAATGCCACCTCTGTGAAAGATTCTCCCATTTCTGGCACCAGCCTGGGACATCTCATGGCCAAGGATCTGAGAACATTGATGTTGGGAGATATCCATGGAATTCCTTTGCTTCCTTGTTCCATGAGCTTGCTTGTTGAGGAATGCTGGTGTTCACAGCAAGCATTAGGTAGTGATCTGGAACAGGTCTGACCAAAGCCTACCATTCTTAGAAGGAATGGTCCAGAGATCTCTGGAATGTTCCAATCCTTCTCTTCCAATACTTCAATCCTATTCAATAGGAGAAAGGGAAGATTTCTCTCTCTCTCTCTCTCTCTCTCTCTCTCTCTCTCTCCCTCCCTCCCTCTCTCTCTCTCTCTCTTCTAGAAGTTAAATCTCTCCAAATAAAACTGGTTCATGGTGTTCCAGATATGGTCCTTCAGAGGCCTGTTTTGCATACAAACCATGTCCACAATACCACAAACTGTTCAAAAACATGATTCCCTGGTAAACAGCTGGATTGCCCTCAGAACCACTGAATGATTGTGAGCTAGAGGAATGGGAATATTCTGGAATTCTCTAACACTGTCTTACAAGAATAAGTTCTCCCCATACCTTGCCACAAATAATAATTAAATGTTACACTCTTTTAATATTTTTGTTTGTAGGTGTTTCATTTCCAAACATCATCGGTGCTGATAACGTTACCGAGTTTAGTAATGAAATGTCTACAAGAAAGCCCCCAAGCTGTGAGAGCACTAAGGGCCCCACAATTCAGCCCTGAGCTATAAAGGAGGCTGTGAGTTCAAGGCTAGGTAAAGGCAGATATTTCTCTCTCTGGGCACAATGAGAATATATCTGCTGAACAAAACTCCGTATTGGCAACAGGCAAAGCATCCGGCCATTAAAACACTCCGCTAGCTCCATTCAACTGCCCAGATTCTACCCCGCAAGGGATTATGGGGTCATTAAAAGATGATGATGATGGAGATGATGATGATGATCAAAACTAATAGATCAACCCTGGGGGAATATAGAGTGTGGCTACCCTGAACCTCTTTCTTCTTCCCTCGTCCACCTTGGGACTGTGCAGTATTTTAATTTGGGCTTCTGTCTGGAATGCGCTGCCTCCTCCCTGGGAAATTACCCATTCCTTCTCCAGGTTCATATTCCATTCCATTCCTCCTCCTCCTCCTCAAAATCATGCTCCTCTCCGTGTTTTCAAGGGAGCTAGGCAGTGGAGGAAGGGACAAATGCACCATTGTTGATCCGTCATCAGAATCTGACAGCTGTAGATCTATCTGCACCATTTGGGTGTGTTGCAGGGAATTGCATCTTTGCAAACTTACAAGGGGATTGAACCCTGAGGCTGTTCCTCAGCCTGCTCTGCAGCAAGCCAGAAGGAGTAGGATACGATGCAAAAGCAATGGAATACGGGCAGGGTAGGACGCAAGAAGATGGAATTACTCACCTTGGAACAGGGTGGCATTGTGACGTTCAGATGGCACAGCACGTGCTGAAGCTCTTCGTACTTCATGGGCTTGCGAAGGAAAGACAAAGAGCCACTGGCTTCCCGGCTACTGTCTCTCACCTACATTTCAGAAGATAAAAGTTCTTCAAGAAGCCAATCAAAGTATCACCCGTCTTCCGCAATCCTCCTTTGCCTTGCTCTCGGGCCCATCTTTCTAATTTTACTTTCTTTACTGCTTGTCCCAAAGGTGCTTTTGTTTTTTTTTTCCCCTTCCCAAGAGACAGCTGGACTTCCTTGGTTTTTCTTTGAAGACGTTTCCCTTCTCATCCAAGAAGCTTCTTCAGCTCTGCGTCGCTAAATGTCTATAGAGATTCTCGGTTGTCCGTGTCACATTTGCCCCAAAGGTGCTTTGGCAAGAGGCAACCTGGACTTTCTCATTTTTCTTCGGATGAGCTTCTTGGATGACAAGCAACACAGCTTGTTTGGGAGGTAGGGCTTATATTAGGCACAAGTGTTTTAAAAAAACAGGCTGGGGCTTATTTTGGGGGTAGGTCATATTTTTGGGAGGGGAAAAACACAGTAGTTATCATCTTCTCTTCAGCTGTCTTTCCTAGAGACTAAACCTCCTTCGGTCTCCCCTTATAGGACCCAGGTTTCAGTCTCCCGCTCATCCTAACTGCACTTCCTTGAGCCTTTAATCCTTTTGCAACCTTGTTCCTAGCCCTGATTTTAGCTCCAAACAGCTGCTGAACACCAAGGTTAAAGTAACAGTATGACCTCTTCCCTCCCCTTCCAACTGTAGTGAGAGTTAATTGTTCTCTTTCTGACAGCGAGAACAATTCCCCACTGGAACAGCTTGTAGTAACTTCTGGAACAGAAGTTCTAGGTGCTCCATCACTGGACATTTCAAAGAAGAGATTGGACAGCCATTTGTCTGGAATGGCATAGGATCTCCTTGCTTGAGCAAGGGGTTGGACTAGAAGACCTCTAAGGTCCCTCCCAACTCTCTTATTCTGTTATGACCTTGATGGAGATTTACAGGTGCTGATGCTTAAACCAAGAGGGCCAAAGCATTGTTAAAGTCCAGAATATTCAGATCTTTGAAAATGTCTCAAACAGAGGCCTCCCTAATTCATTGAAGTATGAGAAGGGGGTGCCAGACATTTGTCTGAAATGGCTAGAACAGGGATCCTCCAACCTTGGCTACTTTAAGACTTGTGGACTTCAACTCCCAGAATTCCTCAGCCAGCTTTGCCCTCTGAACTCCACAAGTCTTTTTTTTTTTTAACAACAAACACAGACAAACACAAACATAAAACACGTAAAACCTTTCAATTATACAGTGTGTCGGTTGGTACATATTTCTTGTGCACAAAATCTAGTCTTTTCTTCTTAAAGTTAAGTTTACATTCATGTTGCATTAGTCAGATTTCCATGTCATATTACATTATTATTACATCATTATTAGACTTTAATTTCAAATCCGCATTATCCTTTGGGGCAACTCTCAATTCTTACTAATTTTAATTCATGTTATAATTCATTCTGTAATCATCAATTATAACATATCATTGCTATTGTATTATACTTCAACTTTTCTATCTAGCCATTGATAAAATAAATCCTATATCTTAAAATATTCTTCTAATTGCTAATATTAATTGACTCATTTCTGCACATTCCATTATTTTCTTAATCACCTCCTCCTCGTTTTTCCAATTTCCAAGTCCACCAGTCTTAAAGTGTCCAAGGTTGGAGCCCCCTACTCTAGAAGTCTGCCAAAGTTCCTCCCAATTCTGTTATTCTGTTCTGTTATTCTGAAGTGACTCAAGTTTAGCTTTTCTTTCTGAAATGTCTACTTACAACAAGTAACTGCTTGGTGGAGGCCCAACCAAGCCAAAATAACTTCTCCTCTTCCGGAGCTTTGAAAAAAAACTCAAGGAGATGGTTACAGACTCTGCTGTCATTCTTCCTTGGGAAGAGAGCCATCAAGAACAACCAGAGACAACCCCAGATTTCCAAAACTTTTGCTGATTACCTTAACTGGGATGATGAGGCGGTTCTCATGGAATGACTGGAACAAGAAGCTCCGTTGCTGGGCAGCCTTCTTGATTGGCAGGAGGTTCCCAGAAAGCTCCATGTGAAGTGGCATGCCTTCGGCCACCTGCGAAAGATCACTGTAAGATTCTCCAGGCGATCATCAGCCACCCAGAGTTAGTTTGGAGTTGGGTGGCACCAAAATCAAATCAAATCAAATCAAACCCAACCAAATAAAAATAAATAAATTCCCGCCATCACTCTGCTAAACAAATAATTCCCTCAACACTGTCCAACGATTTACAAAGTCTGCACTACTATTACTAATAATCTTCTCAGCACTCCTTATCCCCCATCCCCTCCCACTTGTGATTGTATAACTGTAACTTTGTCACTTGCATCCTTATGATTTATATTGATTGTTTCCTAGTATGATTTGATTGCTTATTGTACCTTATGACTATCATTAAGTGTTGTACCTAATGATTCTTGACTCTTGACGAATGTCTCTTTTCTTTTATGTCCACTGAGAGCATTTGCACCAAAGACAAATTTCTTGTGTGTCCAATCACACTTGGCCAATAAAGAATTCTATTCTATTCTATTTCACATCTATTCTATTCTATTCTATTCTATTCTATTCTATTCTATTCTATTCCATTCCATTCCACTCCACTCCACTCCACTCCACTCCACTCCACTCCACTCTACTCTACTCTATTCTATTCCTATTCCAATTCTATTCTACTTCGAGTCAATTTCATGCTACTTATACACAGGAATCTGAATTACTAACAGTCAAGGTAAATTGGAGCTAGATAAGAGTCAACGGAATTCATGGAATTCTAGACTTAGGTCTCTTAGTGACTCTAAACTGATGATGCCTTTGACCCCGCCTACAGGCTCAGCCTGGTCATTTCCTACCCCGAGGAGTTACCTCAATGTCTCGGCTGCGTGCTACTTCTGTGAAGTTTTCATGCTGCTCCAACGTTTTGTCCACTTTGTCATCGGTCATGCAGTAGCAGCGCAAGCGTCCTTCCCGCCCGTCATTCATTTTGGCAAACACCACAAACTTAGCCATGTAGGGCACAGCTGCCAGCTCCTTGTATAACAGAGTGGCAAAATGGACGGCTTCGGCTGTGCGCGGGCAGTCTGCCAGCCAGAACCTACGTAGCGGAAAAAGTAAGGCAGTACTAGGATGGGAGACCACCAGAATATGCCAAGGATGAGCAAACCACCGCTGTTCAGTGGCCAAGAAAACACGGATATTTCTATGGAATCAACAGGAGTCAAGCTTGACTCAATGGCAACACTACCAAGGGTCAAGCTTCAAAAGGATTTTGATGTCGCAATGATTGTCGCATCTCAGTTTGCCAACGAACTATGGGGGGAAGGAAGGGAGAGATAGAAAATGGCCCAGACATCAAGATGTCAATGTGAGAACCAAGGACATTTCGGCAGATGTTTATACACACAAAAAAGACTTTCCAACAATATCCGGAGACCGTATTGGACATTGTGATCTGAGCTAATGGGGGCAGGCGGTGGATTTGAACTTTAACTATAGGGGTTCGTGCAGGAAATCTCTAGATCTGGTTTTACCTTCAAACGTGCCTGTCATGCCCCTGTTGGAATCTGATTCCGAGGGGGAGGTCAAGCAGCTAGGGAAGGGGAGTGTGGCTCTGGTGGCTGTGGAAGAAATTAGGGAAGGGCACAGTCTGGCTGGGCATTCAGAGGAAGACCCAGGGCCACCCCCTCTTCATCCTAGGGCATGCAGGGAGGAATGGAGACGGGAGCAACATGAGTTATGGGGGAGAAAAGGGCCCTGATTCCCTCCATTTGCTGCAACTGGGAAAACAGGATTTAAAAAGGGTGTCTGCGCACAGCACCTTGCTGGAAGCAAAGCATGAATTATTTTGGTTTGTTAAGTCTGGCATCCTCCCAACTGTGCGTGTCTCATTATCTTTTGGAGTTTGCAATTCTTTATCCTGCCCTGTCTCGTTAATTGCTGCAGCGTGGTTTGTGTTGGTTTTTGTTTATAATTTAGATGTACTTTGGGTTTGGACTGAATTTCTTCCCTTTAAAAACTGTTCTTGGGAGAGTTTTATTTTCTCCAGCTGAAGATAACTGGACACTGGGGGCCAAGTTGGAGGTATTAAAGGGACTTCACCTACTTTTGTGACTTTGTTGCTTTTGTGCAATGCCCCGGGTTATCACAGTGCCAAAATGATGTACTCAATAAAGTTTTGCCTAAAGAGATTGGACCATCTCGATCATGTTTGCTTTTGTTGGGTTCATCAGTTGGAACCTTGACTCTTAATTTTGTACCATAATAGAGTGGTACAACGTGTATCATTCTCTTTTGTGTTTTTTTAGAATTTCCTTCCCCAACCGAATATCCTCCAAACATATTGGTGTCTGCTTGGAAGCCATTTTTCTTTGAGGCTTCTGGGCTGCCACATTCAGTGCCTGGGAATTTGGGAGGGGGGTTTCAAGGAGAGATCGAAGATTAGCCACAACATTCCTTTCTCAGAGAGTCAAGGACATGTTACTCTGCACCTGGAGGGGATTGACTAGGAGAGATAGTCTCCAGTTGGATCGAAGTAATGATTGGACCATGTGATGAACTATTGGGTTAGGGTTGGATTTTGAAATCTCTTTGCACTAAGGAAAATCCGGAAATCTCAGATTTGGGTTTTCCTCAGTTGTGCCAATATGACATCTCTAATAAAATGGATTTTTGACAAGCTGACAGTCTTGGAGTCTTTTAATATGGAAGTTGCTACTTGGAACGCTGACATTGGATTACACCAAACACATTTAAAGGGCTGCTCAACCCGACCCCTTGCATTGTACATCGCATCCCCTGTGAGATGTAGCTTGTGGTCCTTGACTTGCCACCCAAAACCTTCTCCCAGACCTTCCCTCCAATTCACCTGGCTGACACATTGGTGGTGAAATTTGCACACTCGTCGGCGTAAAGTAATTTTGTGGTCCCAGTGATGTCCTCCCATTGTGCTGGCGCAGTTCCTCCTGAGAAAAGAAAGTGGGGAGAACTGATTGGGTGTCTTTTGATCCCCAATTTGATTCCAGAAATTCGATACAGAAGCTCAGCTCGGCGTGAGGCCAATTGGCCGGCGCTATCTGACGTTACTAAGAGTTGCCTACAACAACTGACACAGAAATATATATACTGTCTGTGTGTGTGTGTGTGTTTGTGGGGGGGGGGGCATGGTGGCTTAGTGGCTAAGACACTGAGCTTGTCATTCAGAAAGGTCTGCAGTTCGGCGGTTCAAATCCCTACCACCATGTAACAGAGTGAGCTCCTGTTATTTCCCCAGCTTCCTAAAAAAGGCTAGTGCTAAACTTGGAGCTGATTGGACAAGACCGGGAAAAATACTGAAGCTTCTTTCTCATTCATTTTGGTCCTTTATTTGGTTCTAGCTTCTTGTGGTAGCATTTCTGCTGAATCCTCAGCCAACCTGCCCTTTCCCTCCTGTGATTTCCTTCCAAAGGTAGAATGCTTTTGTCTCCAAATGATTCCACTGAATCATCTGTTATTGCATGATGTAATTGGAAGAAGGAATGACCTTGAGGAACAGGAGGAAGAGCCCCTATCAAAACAATAGAGGTCGTCCTCACTTAACAAGATTGCCCTGCATGATTTTGGTTTCCTAGTTTGGTCTACCTTGATGTGCTGACATAGGCTTTACCAAACCACGAAGCGCAATTCCTTGTCCCAACAAAACACCTTTTTATATGGCTAAGGTGAACTCCTATCATTCACATCCAGCAAAGTCTCGGCAGACGGTCTTTCAAGGGTGAATTACAACCACAGACCTTATCAGGCTTGGAGAATTGCCAGGCCAATATCTTCCAAGCACTAGGCTGTCCAAAGAAATACTTGACAAGAAGTCAGGAACGGATCTTTACTCTAATGAATTGAACTAATTGTTTCCTGCAAACCTCACTCCCTTTTATCTCCTCTTTATTCTCTATTCACGGGCCACCTGTGCCTTTACTCCCGAGTCGACCCTAGTTCGTTAACTGTTCCCCTCTTCTGGCAGCCCTGTGCATGCGCACACTGGGAACAGGCTCCAGCTGTTCTTCTGCCCCACTGATCTCTGACTCCAAAGGCAGCTGATTACTGTCAGAGGGCCCTGGCCCCATCTCTGCCTCCGATGCAGAGCCCTTGTCAGAGCCTACTCCAGACTCCAGGACTGGCTCATGTTCCTCCCCAACCTCCGCTGGCAGACCACAACACTTGAAGAGTTGGCATCATGTGACATTATTCTGAAGGTGTTTACAAGAGAGGGCATTGCTTGTGTCCTCAATGTAATGGAGCATCATGGGTTGGAAGTAAAAGAGGGCCAAGAAGACCAATGGTCAGGAGGATGTCCAACTTCTCCAAAGCTCAGCTTCCAAATCCCGAGATCCTCCCCAACTTTGCAATGAAGAAGCAACATGGGAAGGGATGCTATCTCTTAGACACACTCAGAAGTCTCTGCTTACCTATAACGCTGCAGAGGAGGCGCAGGCTGGTGGTATCGCCTTCCCCACTGTCTCGGGGACTCTCTCTCCAAGATGGGGGCAAAGGAATGCGCAACCCGATAGGTCGATGAAATTTCCTACGGCGTGGCTCCACTGTCACAATTGGGCTGAAGGTTGCCTGGTTCCCCAGGAGTTTGGTCACCAGCTCATCAGGCACTGGCTGAGCCTGAAAGAGAAAGACCAAAACCCAGGAAGGTCTTGAAAAGGCCTATAGATAGATGATTGATAGATACAGAGATAATAGATGATAGATGATACATAGATGATAAGGTACATAGATACATAGATGATAGATAGATGATAGATAGATAGATAGATAGATAGATAGATAGATAGATAGATAGACAGACAGACAGATAGATAGATGATAGATGGATGGATGGATGGATGGATGGATGGAGGGAGGGAGGGAGGGAGGAAGGAAGGAAGGAAGGAAGGAAGGAAGGAAGGAAGGAAGGAAATATTAAAAGTCCACCCCATTTGGTAAAACCCATAAAATGAATCAATCCAGTAAATGAATCAAGAAGGTTTCATGAAAACAACCACAATGTCTGACTGGCCATCATTCAGTACCTGCAGAGCCAACTTGACTTTCTTGGTGACTGCCGTTTCAGGAAAGGTAGCTTGGACCATGGGCACCAACGAACTCTGGAGACAGCCCCCTTCTGGGCCAATTAACTCACAGTTCTGGCACACCCGGGACATGACCACAAAGTACAAGGGGAAGTCGGTTGTGATGATACGGCAAATCCTTTTCTTCTCCAATTCTTCCAGACTTTCCAATTCTGTAAAAGAGTAACTGAGGAGTTTTAGATTCCATGGGTCATGAGGAAACCAGTGGGACTTCAACAACTCTTATACTAATATAATTAATTAAAGGGTCAAAACATCAGACTTTATGGCAGTGTTTCTTAATATTGGCAACTTTAAGAGGAGTGGATTTCAACTCCAGGAGGAGGAGGAAGAGGAGAAGGGGAAGGGGAAGGAGGAGAAGGAGAAGAAGGAGGAGGAGGAGGAGGGGGGGAGGGGGAGGAGGAGGAGAAGTCCAGAGATGGGTTTCAGGCAAGCAGTTGTGACAGTCCCATCACTTTGTCATAGCTCCTCAATCTTTGAATCTCATTGGAGTCCCTACGCAAGTTGATGTCCTTCAGGTAGATGTCCCTACCTTCATCCATCCCATTGAGGACCTGGTCCAAGTAACTCTCTGCGTAATGGCTGCGGTGCTCCTTCCATACAGACCCATTCTCACTGCGTAGGACCACCAACTCTCGGTCACCACGGCCGTGCGAGGCAAAATGAGGGATTTCCACAATCACAGGGCTACGAGAGAATTAAGCGTAAGAAGTCGATTAGATGGCCATTGTCTTCACCAACAGTTGAAAACAAAGCCTTTCCCAGTCCCAAAGGTGCTTTTTCAGGAAGCAACTGGACTTCCTTGTTTTTCCTTTGAAGACGTTTCACTTCTCATCCATGAAGCTTATTTAGCTCTGAAGAACTTTTGACACCTTTGGGGCAGCCATGACCTGGATGAATGAAAACCTCTACAAACTTTTAGCTGCACAATTTGGGATGAACACCCATTGAATGGTGTGGGAATAAGGAATGGATTTCCAGAGGAAAAAGAATTGCAGAGTACAGAAACCAGGAACCAGCTTTTTCCTTCTTAGTGGCTACATGTAGGAGAAAAAACTGGTAGAGCTGGGAGGCGGGGTTAAACGACTCATCTGCCTAGAATCATTACATGGTCACAAACAGTTCAAGTCCAACCTCTCTTGAATTCCATTGACCCTTATCTGGCCTCAGTTTAGTGTTGAAATTTAGTTGACTAAATTTTGTTAATCTCGTTTTGAATGGTGTGGGAGTAGGAATGGATTTCCAGAGGGGAAAAATTGCACATTACAGGAACTATTTGCATTACTCGGGTGACCCTGAGGACACAGATAAACCTCCAAGTGGCCTCAATGACCCTCTAAAAGGATGCAAATGACCAGCTGCCTGCAAGGAATATAAATCCTTGTAGAGTTGTAATTGCAGGAATGTTCTTATCTTGGATGGCAAACCCCTTTTATTCATACCTATTTCCTGTATTCATAATCATGTTCATACTTGTACCTGTTATCTAATACTTGCTTGACAAATAAAATAAATAAATAAACCTCTTTTTAATTGCAACCGTCAAAATAAAAAGATTGTGACATCTGTATGAAGTCTGTTCTCAGAAACCTACATCTGGGAGGGGCAGAGGGAGGGCTGTCCTTCAGCCCTGGCATCCAAGAAACACTTCAGCGCATGAGTCTCATGCACTGTGACAGCCACAAAGCTGGCCAGGAACTGGGATACCTGTTGTGGAGAACATCTGGAGAAGAAGCTTTCACCTGAGGAATTGTGCTCCAGCAGGGCCCAGAGCAATAATTCTGCTGACCAGTCCTTCTTCTTCTGCCAGAGGGGGTGGAGCTGGTAGCTTCTGGGGCTTGACCAGCCGGCAGGTGATGCGAGTTGGTGCTGCACACGTCCTGGGTGGAATGATGACGCGAAGGCCATTGTGCCTGCTGCCCCGCATGGACCCTCCACGGGCATCTACCATGAAACTTACAAGGAACCTGGGCGGGGAGAAGAACAGAGACACCACCGCCAAAAGACGTGTCATCAGAAGTCTACAGGCAACATGCAAAAGAAACAATGGTGGCATGAGCAAAAAAAAATGGTTATAATATTGAATTGGCTAAATGGCAAATGCTTTGGACCACCAATAAGAAAACAACATTGCAAGAAATCCTCAAGGAACACATAGATTTGGAACCAGAATTATTTCTGTTATTTAAAAAGAAAATGTGGGGAAAAATATAAAATATATAATATTACATATCCTAAAGGTTGCTAGAATTGCCTATGTTCAATGTTGGAAACATAATTGTATACCATCGGATGAATTGATTATTCAAAAAATAATGTCATGTGCTGAGATGGATCAATTAACCCTGATGCTACGAGAGAAAGAGGAGACCTAATATTATAGAATTTGGGAAAAATGGTATGATTGGATTGAATTAAGACACATGAATGATGGAAGAATTAATGATAAGCAACTTATAGATTAAAAGTTTATATTCGCACAAATTGTATATATTTGTAAATAAGCACAAAATAGAAGTATATGAGATAGATGTCACACACTGTTAATGTCATAATATGTATATTTTTATTCGGTTTTTAAAGATATAAAAGACCAATTAAGTTTATTTAAAAAGGAAGGAAGGAAGGAAGGAAGGAAGGAAGGAAGGAAGGAAGGAAGAAAGAAAGAAAGAAAGAAAGAAAGAAAGAAAGAAAGAAAGAAAGAAAGAAAGAAAGAAAGAAAGAAAGAAAGAAAGAAAGAACATAACATTGGCCATAGCATACAAGGAAAAGCTTTATAAGATCTTTCACAGGTGGCATCTTCCGCCAGCAAGGCTTTCCAAAATGTTCAAAAGTCTGTCTCCAAATTGTTGGAAGTGCAAAGATGTATCACGCACATTTTTCCAAGTGTGGTGGACCTGCAATGCTGCAAAAAAGTATTGGAGGCTGATCCAGACCTCGGTGGAACGAACGGTGGGAGAGAGTATTCCATTTAAGCCGGAATTTTTTCTCCTAGGAATAATATCCCAGAAGGATATCGGAAGGATTTAATGTATCTAATAGTACATGTGTTGATGGTGGCTAGAATAATATATGTGCAATACTGGAAGAAGGAAAGCACGCGGCCAGAAACAGAGATAATAAGGAAAATTATGGCCTGTGCAAAATCAGACAGGTTAACCTGGAATTTAAAAAAAAAAACAAGGGGGAATCTGAGTACTATGAAACGTGGAATAAATTCTATCAGTGGCTGCATAGAAGAAGGCAAGGGCGGAACATAAGTAGTGATGATGATCAGAATAATTAGTAAACAATGTTATCAAACAAGAGGATTGTAAATGGTGAAGTAAAATTTATATATGTATACTTACATATATATGGCTGCACTGTGTTGTATTCTTATAATTAAAAAATATAACAATAACAACAATGATGACGAGGAGGATGATGATGATGATAATTGGAGCCCTTGGAGCAATACCTAAAGGGCTGCCTCGCTGTTTGGAAATTCTGAATTTATCAGACTTGAATACCCTGATTCTACAAAAAACCCACCCTACTTGGAACAGCTTATATCCTCCGACGCTACCTGAACAGCTCCTAGGTCCCTGTTTAGGACTCGACCTGTTGAGCTACGAACCAGCCCCAAAGGCTGTGAATCTCACTAAAGATATAAGGAGGAGGAGGAGGAGGAGGAGGAGGAGGAGGAGGAGGAGGA